CCCGCCATGAACAAAGCCAGCTATTCTGTCCCCAACCTTCCAATGTTGTCCCGAATTCTTGCCAACCTTGGCCACCTGGCCTGCATAGTCACAGCCAGCAACACTATTCTGCGGTGAAATGAAATCGACGTCCTTAAAGTCTATTGGATTTAGCGCAACAGCAGATACTTTAACCAGGACCTCGTCTTCGGTGATTTCTGGGATAGGGATTTCTGTGACATGTGCGCCCTCCCCAAGTGGACTGCCAAGAGCAAAGTTTAGTAACCGCTTGGGCAGAGACTGTGTTGTGACTATTGCTTTCATCGTTGTTGAAGTATAGTTGTATGATTGTGCGTGGATAAGACTGGATTAGGTTTCGTAACGATGAGAGCGTATTAACGAGATTAGATGTTATCCTAAATGGTATTCTTGAGATTAAGTGAATTCGTACACAGCACACCAAGATCTAAGGATGACAGTGATATTGCTGATGGGGCAAGGTTAGCCTCATTCAACATCGGATGGATACAACCCCGACGGGATAAGAGAAAACCGACTCGGTATATAGGCTGGGCCACGGGAGCGGAGGACAGCACCGTCGAAAAGCGGCGGAGAATGTGGGATGGATGATCAATAATCATGATATCGAATCCATGGATAGCATCGGGCTAGACCCCACATTAAGCATGGATCAAGAATACCTCTGCCTGGGTTCAGGTCTTCTACTGCTATTGCTAGCTGTATTTCTGTCTCATCTGGTGATAACTTTATGTTTAGTAGTGCGGATGAGGAATCGGACGACGAATGTGATGATTATGTCACTATGTGTATTAAGGATGATTTTAAGGTCATTTAGAGTTATTACAGCCTTTTGTGGTTTAGGGCTACAGGTACAGTGAAGAATATTAGCCCTGTATTGCACGCAATCAAATTATTAAGTAGACTCTGTAAAAAATAAACTAAAAAAGGGGAAAGACGAGACTGGCTGCTTTCGCGACAAGTAAGCATACATGGGCTAGTTTAAAGTGTTCACTTTCGGCGATCCTGTTCCAACTTCTCTGCGGCGCGGATCTTGTTCGTTATAGCCGGCAAGTTGATGGCAGGAGGAAGTAACACGTCCTGCGTCGAGTCAACAAAGTAACACCTTTGCTTGCGGATAAGGGAATGATCTTACCCAAATGGTTGACCAACCGAAAGTCGAAGCCAACCAGGTCAGAAGAGCTCCTCCTCCAATCCAGAGATGCTTTTTGGGACTCGATCTTGTTACGCTTTTGACAACGGCCTCAGCATAGGAATTGACATCCATGGCCTGTTTCTCCAGCCCGGCTCCGGCCAATGCTGGCTCAATCACATCCTTGGCAGGATAGTACAGGGAACCCTCGGGTAGGACTGGGGTATTCGGAAGGTTATCGAAAAACTTCGTCCTAATTGCACCGGTATTGACGAGGATGGCTCTAACTCCCCAAGGGGAGAGCTCAATGCGCATTTGGTCGGTGATGAGAGCAACCGCGGCTTTACTTGCATTGTAGTATCCTTGCCATGGGAGTGGCATTTTGCCAAGCACGGACCCGATGTTGATAATTGTCCCTTTTGATGCAATGAGAAGAGGTGCAAATGCTTGAGTTACCGTAACGACACCGAAGACGTTCACATCAAACATCTTCTTCGCTACTGACACGTCCGAGTCCAACAAGGGAATACTGTATCCTGTCGAATAGTCAGCTTTGACACGAGCAAAATAATCGAATACTCAAGATCTTGCCACTTACCTAAACCCGAGTTATTGACCAGGAAATCCAAAGTTCCCCCAGTCGCCGTCTTGACAGCCTCCACCGCTTGTCTGATGGACTCTTCATCGGCAACGTCTAGCCGTATGATGTCAAGACCGATGTCCTTAAGATGTTGGACTTTAGCGAGATTGCGAGCACTTGCAAAAACTCGCATGCCCTTTTTGTGGAAGGTTTTAGCGAGAGCATCGCCTATTCCGCCTTCACTGCAACCTGTGATGAAGACCGTCTTCTGAGCCATAGTGTAGTTGATGTTGTAATTAGCCCCGTGGAAGTCAGAAAAAGTATTCTCACTCTTTGCCCAACGATCATATAATAGGACGTCCGAGTAAGCAATATATATACAACTACTTGAAGGGTGGGCGGCAGCGAACCTAAAATCCACACAAGGCTCCTCGCCACCGTCTTCGGGATGTTCACAGATCATTATTAATTACATTTATACTTTGATAACCCTTTTGAAAGCCCTACAAGCTTTACCCCAGCTTGATACCAGCTGAAAATCGGGACATCATTGCCAGACCCAAACAATAAGATCGGCATGATTTGTGGGTTCGGGATGATTACAAAACATTCCGTGTTAACTTAACCTAATCCGAAAGACCAAATTCCGCTTAGCACCATAATAAGAATATCCCGGCGGCGGATCTGTGGACGGTAGTAGACTGGTTTACCCAATCCGCAAATCCATATCCAACCCACCCAATCCGTAGTTTGGGTTGGATCACCTGATCCAACCCACGTGGGTATGGGTTGAACCTGCCTAATTCATATGGATATGGGTTAAACCCATGGGTCCATGTGACCTAGGACCTCTAAGAACTGATAAGCTTATCTAGCCTAATCTAGGCCTAGATAGAGAATAATTATATCTATGTATATATAAAATAGAATATTAGGTTTATTAAGAAAGATTAGAGTTATGGTAGATAGTGGTCTGTGGTCAGGATAGTGATGGTAAGATACATATATCTCCGCACCATATTTCATCCTAACTTTTGGGGGTACTACTACCCCCCTATACAATACGATTTTAGCTCATATAATAGGTAATATATAATATTTATATAGCTAATAAGTATAGTATCCTATAGAATATATAGATACCTTAGTGGTGTGGCTAGAATACTAGAAAAATAGGTGGTAATCTGGATACTAGAGGTCACCTGACTAGGTAGTATGGATATATCCATTATCCATAATCCAATCCGCATGGATGAGGGTGGGTGAGATAGGTGGTGGTCCTGGTGGATCAACCCATAATCCGCATGGGTTGATCAGACATGGTGTGGATCAACCCATATCCAACCCACTAACAGTCTACAGTGAACAGTCCAACGGGCAGCAAATATTTCTCTGCTTTACCGGTGTCTGTCCGCCGGACTCGAATTCAGCAATTCCCAACCATTAGTAAGTGTTGCTGCTCAATCTCCTTCAAACCGCTGTGCGGCTGTTTACTCATTACTGGCAAAGGTGGCAGTATTCTGCTTGTGTGCCGACTGTTCAAGTCACACTTGTCTATGAGGAAAGAACGATTGCTGCTTATTTCCGGTTTAAAAAAAGCACTTCTCACCAGGATCAATGAGCTTCGGACACGTCTTAGTACTGAGCTGCCTTCAATCTTTGATCCGGGAATATACCAAATCATCAACGTAGTGCAACAGCAGATCAAGGATGCGAGGAAAGAGTCTGGCAAGGATCTCATTACTGGATACTGGAGTGATCGATCACAAACATTCCACATGGCCAAATCAGCAGAATCAGTCAAAACCATCCCCTTGCGATGGGTGCGTAAGATACTTTTTCCCTCCATGAAGACCATCAGTCACTCCGGTAATCACATTTTCATAATAATACTGTCCGTCCATTGGGATCCCCAGCGTCTTTCCAACGCCCCCTTTTCTCGTAGGTCCGAAAGTACCGCTTGTGCTCTGTCCACTGTCCACTCTCTCGCCGACCAGCCATTTTTCGTCTATTGTTCCTAGGAACAAATCGATCTCCTCCGGACGTTCCTCCGTCCTCCACAACAGTGAGCTCCCGCACTTTGAGCAGAATCCCCTCAGGCAGTTCTCTGACGAACGGTATTCTGTGTAGGTCGGAGACGCAGAGATTGCTGGACTTATCTGGTCCGGTGAGATGGAAAGAAATTGAGGAAGTAGACTAGCAGTCCACTTGCGGCACATTGTGCACTGACAGGAAGCCGACTGTGAAAGCAGGTTGTCAGTTAGCAGATAGGAACCATGTTCTCAGGACGATGCAGTACCTTTGGCGGCCAATTATGTACTCTGTCGAAGTGAACAGTGTACCGGATACTCGCACATAGGCAGCCACCGGTTATCTCAGAAGGATGTCCCGCGTCACTTGTCATCTTGGTAGAGCTGCTTTCAACCCAGTATGCGAGATGGACTTGAGGATCGGACAGTAGGAGATGCCTTGGTTTTAAGTCTCGAGTGTGTAGAAGGCAGCTCGTATTAAAACAAGGCGGGGCCAGAAATGACGCAGAGAAATGACGCGGCTGCCTGGGCGGGCTCAGAAGGCGTACAGCAATAGGTTGAGTATCCCGAACACGAGCTCGAAGCGCACCACTAGTGAGGGCATCCAACTGGGTATATTGACCGGGTTAAGTCAAACACTGGCTGGTTACTAGTTGGGTGGTTGACCCCCAGCAAATTCCGGCTGTTGTATGTTTTTGATCTTTTGTTCTTAATGATTCTTGGTTCTAGAGATTATGAAATAATATCTTAGAGTATTACCCATATTGTATTACTTTATTCTCGCAATAGCGCCGATGGGTATACTGACACAGGTCGTCTCTGAATTCAGGTATATGAAAGCCTGTCACTCCACGCCTTCATCGCCAGAGTTCAGGAAGGATAAGGAAATTCAGAGGGTGAATTGTGCTCCTCCATAAGCCAGGATGTGTGTGAGCTCTATAACAATAGTGGCATTGCGCGCATCTTTAGTCATGTGAAGATTCTAGAGGTTATTCACAATCATCAATATTTCACTGATGGGGCAGCGGGGATATACATGTTTTGAGAATATATTCAGAGAAAAAAGCTCAAGCTTAACCAATTATGGCCTGTGCGCAGCCGCGTCTGGGATATAGCAGAGCCGTACTTATTTTTACATGTTTTAATGTCCAAGTCCCAAATCCAGAGCCCATTTTCACTTACTTCCGATAGCAGCAACAATACATAATGGCAAATTATTTTAAGCACGACTTGAACTGTTTTACTCCTTAAACTCGACTTCCTTTCCACTCTTCATGCCTATAGCAGCGTAACTAACAGGGTCTGTGGTACTAGTCAATCATTATTCACTTGAGTCTATCCTGGAGAGCTTACCCAGCTGCTGTAATATAACTTGTTCCCCAGGCATAAAATGAACATCGCGCGTACACTTGAGCTCAACAGTGGAATTTGCAGATCTGTAAATAGTGACCTGGTCAACTTCTCCAGTAACAACTTCCATTCCATCGGGCTCAATCATTTTGCCACCGATCCGAGCACCGACGTGGCTTCCCTCTTGTAGGGTTATAGGATCACGGTCGAAATACGCCTTAGGCATACTGGAGATTCGCAGTACTTTCAAAATGAGGATCGTCAATACGACTTGAATTGAAATCCTCTTGAGTTTCTAGCACAATATATCGGTAGTATATATTATAGCGAAGAATTGGGCCCAGGCCGCTTTCGTCATCATGACATCTTCCACTCTAGCTTGTTAATATTAGGTAGGATTACGGAAAGACGTCATGACCTAAATCCATATACTCCATATTTATGGCCGTTCTCGTTAGCTATGTTCACTCTCTGGATAGGACAGAGTTTCTTCTACAGAAATGCCGTGATAAATGCAATGCTTAGGTTGTAGATTAACTTGCATATATTAATCTGGCAAGGGGAGTATATTGAGTTATTGTTTATATAATATTGTAATTTCTAGGCTCTGGTTATAATCTATATGATAATATATAACTTAAACCACACTCTAATAGTAAACGTTATGCAGAAGACAGGCTGCTGTGTAAGTTAATTAACCAGCTTATCATAGCTTACTATGCCTTATATACTTTAGTAATTATAAAGTAAGTATCCTTAATTAAGAAGCTCCTAAAATAACAATCTTAAAGCCCTTTAATTCCTTTAAAATTAGCAACCTTCTTTCCTGGGCCCTTAGCATTAAGCTTCGGTGTTGTCTGTGTCACCCTTTTAGTAGCACTGTAGCAGCTTTGGGGGCCGCCTTGGCCTTGGGTTTCCATATGGTGGTGTTGTTTGTAAGGCAGGGTTTCAGCACTTTTGGGAGGAGTCAATCTGTACCACCGCAGACACCAAGGCAAAGTTGGAGCCATCATCAGAGATATTCAACATAGGGGTTCACTTCTAGCGATGGATGGGATGTATTTTCTCCAAAACTCTCCGAGGACCTAGCTAACTTTATCCAGATGAGAATAACATTGCCCATGGTACTCAGTTCATTGACGCCCTTCTTCCCCCATCCCCCTCCTTCCATTCACATCTATGACGTTGCGTCGAAAGATGCCTCACATCATGTCATTTGAGAGATCCAACATGCCAGGAGCATCCTGTTAGTCACTTGCAACTTCTCGAGCTCTGCTCGCAATCTGAGACGACACCAACGGACTATTTCCCACAACCTGTGCAGCTAGACTCGCCAAGGGTTTGGAGCTCAATATATCGAAGACAGAAATGTCGGCTTTCATCTCAGCGAAAACCCAATTTCGAAATTCCACAGCTTTAAGTGAATCGACTAAGAAACAATCAGTAGGCAGCTCAGACAAGTATACATACTTGGCAAATAATCGATTAACTTACCACCTGATGCATGCAAAGGCTTTCGAGGATCGATATCATCGGGCTTCGAGCTCATGGCGGCGGCTAGAGTCTCCCTGATAGCCTCGTCGACCAAGTGGAGGGCCTCCGGTGTGGTCTCGGCATCCTGCAGCTTCTTGGCTAATGATGCCCGTCCGGTAGACGAGGTGCCTTGTTCTCCTAACTCAAGCTCTTGTTTCACTCGCAATTCCATCTTCGCATCAAAAACCCACTGGTGAGTGACACGTGCAGCGTTGTCACGCACCAGATCGTTCTTGACACCGCACACAATGTATGGTGGGACAGGTTCGAGGTCGGAGGTTGCGCCCCGCATGATGGCTTTGATCGTGGTGAGAAAATCTCGCTCCGTAAATTTCAGTGGAAGTAAAGTTGGGTTACGGGCCAGCCACTTCTCCGTATCTTCGGGTGACATGTGGTTGTTCTTCAGATCGTGCATGACGCCAAGACCAATGGAAACAGCGGCCATGCCAAGCGAGCGTCTATAAAATGCGATGGAGTCTTGGTAGGCGTTTCCGGCCGCATATTGTGCCTGACCACCGTTGCCGATAATGTTAGAGATTGAGGAGAGGGTTATAAAGAAGTCCAGATTATCCGGGAGACAGGCATGCAGGTTCCATGTGCCAAGTGTTTTGGGGAGCAGTCCAGTGCGCCATTGTTCGTACGACATAGTCGAGAACGGGCTATCCTGTATATATAAATGGAACCTGGTTAGACAAGTGCGCGAGGGGGGTTAACTGTAAGCAATTTGTATGAGGACTTACGCGCAACACCATGGCCATCTGTACCACACCCTTTATATTCCATGCGTTGTGCCTAGCTCTTCCTGCCAAGTCTTGGACCTGAGCCATATCGGTTGTGTCGCACTTGACATCACTTATCATGCAGCCACGATCCTCCCATTTCTTAATATGCGCCTTTTGCAGGTCCGTGGTTGCGCCGGAGCGGGATACAAATATCAGATGTCTCGCACCAGACTCGACCATGTCATCAGAAAGTGACAGGCCAAGAGCTCCCAGCCCTCCGCAGAGGACGTACGCTGCTGTTGGATCCAACTCCAGCAGCTTCGGTTTAGAAGGCAACCTCATAACACGGCCCTCGTGATGCATTTCAAAGACGATTGTGCTGTACTGTGAGCCTGCCTTGAGATACGACAGTGTCCGGGGAAGCTCTGAAATGGGATACTTGCGTACACCGTGGACTGGGCCAATCTCGTTATTGCGAATCATTTCATAGACCTTCTCGAAAACCTGGGAAACCAAGTGTGGCTGTGATTCAAGCATCGAGGCGAGAGAGAAACTCGAATATGTGAGCTGCTTATTAGAGTCCATGATGAAATCTGAAGACTCGATGCCCACATTGATAACTCTACCCATCGGGCTGATCATTTCGAGGAGATCCTGAAGGCTTTTCGCGGAGCCCAAATTGAACACCACGTCAATGCCCCCACCAGAGATTCGATGAGCGACAGCCGCGACAAGTCTGGAACTGCCATATTCGAATATGTTTTCAGTTGGGAGAGAGTACTGCCTTTGCATGATGTTGCGTTCTTCCTCGGAAGTGATAGTGACGAAGACAACAGCGCCGGCGCGTTTGGCTATTTGCACCGCTGCTTGTCCAGTGCTACCTCCCGCTCCATGAATTAAAACCCTGTCCCCAGAGCTGATTCGTGCAAGGGAGTGCAACGCGTGGTAGGCAGTGATGTATGCAGATGGCAACAAGGTGTGTCCATTATCACCGACTGAGCTGGGAAGACGTTGTACGAACCTTGAGTCCTGTTGTAGCACCGTACTACAGGCTCCCGCTTTCAATACAGCAACGCGACTACCTACCGGAATGTGTGAGACGTTTGCGCCCGTTCTCACAACTACCCCGATGGCTTCAGCCCCTAGCTTTGACAAGCTAGTCTTCCCAAGGGCTGTATTCAAATCCCTTGGATGCATAGGAACAAACTCCACTCGAATCGCAACATCGTCTGCCGCCAGTTCTTGCGACATCTCAACGTCCACCCAGGTGATCGATTCTAATGTCCCTGGTCTGAGTACCCGAGCTTCGACAGCTTGACCTTCGCTGCACAGAGGCAGATAGGACGGAGCCGGGTTGGGCTTGGTGCCTTCAATCTCCGCATTGAAGTGTGTGTCCGTCGTCAGACGTGGGATCAACAATTTTCCATCCACGTCCCGGTACTCGAAGTCCGCGGGTTTGTCTTCTCGTGCATCTGTTGCGTCCAATATAGTGAAGACTGATCGAGCAGCGTGGGCAGGATCAAGCTTTGCAGAAGAGTCGAATTCAAGGTACGGCAGTCGTAGCTGTGGATATTCTTTTGATCTATTAGAGTGCGTCCTCTCACAAGTCAAGCTTTCATCGACGTACCTGAGCGGATTGTACGCAAAAATCCTGTAGAAGCCCCATGGTCTAATGTTGTACGTCCGAGCCAGAGAATGTAGGGGACAGAGGCAAATAGGACTTGAAGGGCATTGAACTGTTTTTCGTCCATGTTCAGAATGGAAGCATCTTCAGCTTCGAGTAGTGAGATGATAGCATGACCTTTGAGTTTGTCAATGTCAGAGAGCTCTGCATACTCGACCCTCAAGCCGCGGAGACGGGCTGCTTCTGTCAGAGCATCTAACAGGTGGGTAGTCACCGAAGCTGGGCCGGATGGCCTGAGCAGTACGATTCCCTCTTGGCTGAAGCGTGGACTCACAATTATCGGTTTGGTGACCAAGACCCAATTGCGTTTTATGTCCACGCGGAAATCTGGGACTGCATTCAAGGAAAGCTGGAGTGATTGGTCATCCCATTGAGTCGAAGCGTCGGGTCTCAAAAGTACGATGTTGCCACCAGACTTCAATCTGCTTTGGTATGCTTGAAGCCGTATGAGCAGATTATCAGGAGATGTGCCGTCCATGGATGAGATAATGATATCAAAAGGATCTTCTGGCACTTGTTCGAAGTTGCCGTCTTCCTCTGAAGTGTGATGGTAGGCTGAAATAATTCCATCAGCCTCGAAATCTTCTCTCAAAGCTACCAGATCCTGCTCAGACCGATGGAGAACGGCACAACGGCCAAAGCGGCCGCCGGATCCCCGCCTGGGTGCGAAATTGCGAACTGATTCCAGTAGGGCTGCACCATCCACTAATAACGCTGACAATGAGGAGCTCTTCTGTGTCTTCAACTTCAACCATTGTTCGAAATCAGATATATGCCTGGTCTCAAGGGTTGGATCGTCAATCCAATGCAGCTGGGTGAACTGGTCATTGTACAAGGATTGAGTACCGTGGGAAGCATTGGCGCTGGTGATAGTGGTTTCCATATCTTTAGATGAGAAATTCCTCACAATGATTTTGGGTTGCGCGAATTCCGCATCAGAAATGATGAAGCTACTTGTGCGGTCACGCATGGTCTGCATATCCCCTGTGGTAGCAGCTTTGTACAGCGATCCAGCACCTTGCGGCAGGTTCGAGGAGATGAACATGCTTTCCAAGCGTACTGGAACACTAGCTGATGGGAGAGGGCCCCCAGAAGTAGTAGCAATGAACGAGAGGTGGAATATTGCATCTAACGTAGCTGGGTGGATCAAGTGGGGGAACTCGTATCCGTATGGCATAAGCTTCTTTGTATCTGGAATCGTAATTGTACCAAAGGCGCAATTCTTCCCAGCAAAAGCCTCGGTGACATTCTTGAATTGGTCGCCGTATGCCAGACCGACGTCGGATAGTTGTTGATAGAAGAGCTTCGGGTCAACATGCGTGCTTGCAACTCGTTTGACGCGCTCCAACTCCATGAGCTTAACTTGCCAGTCCGCCCTTTGCTCAGAGAGAAAAGCTGTCTCATCATCTGCATATACTAGGGAGAACTGACCACTGGCATGCTCTGCCCAAGAATCCCCGGGTGCCGTGCTGAAGAGAGTAAAGTTGAAACACTCGTCGGAGACCTGGTTTCGAAGCTTCTGAGGATTGATATGCAAGTTAGTCTCGATCGAGTTGTCTCCTTCAGGGACAAGTAACCCTCGCTTAAAGAGAACATGTTTGAACTCGACACCATGCAGCGTGCGGTTGTCTCCTCTGTCCTGGTGCATCTGATGCGCCGCCTCAAGAACCATGATAAGCATACCAGCCGCAGGATACAGAGTTGAACCTTGAATTTTGTGTTGGGCCAGCCATGGATTTTCTGAAATGCTCAAGAAGTTGCGCCAACGCGGGGCAAGAGGGTTCTGCGGATCAAACGGACTACCCAAAAGATCGGTCCGAGGATGTGGTCTCGTTCTCATTGACCTGATTATTTCTGGTTCGTGCCAGAACCTGCATAGCGTTAGATGACCATTCATGAACTATAGAAGCTTTTCACATACCCTTTGCTGTGATTCCAAGGGTACGCCGGAAGACAGCCAAGCACTCTGTAATTCTGGCTGTCCATTTGATGATTTACCTTGGCAAGATCGACCTCGACTCCTCTCGCCCAGAGCATGCCGGCTGCTGTCAATGCTGAGATCATCGAATCAGTTCCGCGGTGCAGAGGCGATGTGTAAGTAACATAGGATGTCAACTTTGCATCAACATTTGCCATGGTTTGCTGCACCGGTCCTTTGAGTGCCTCATGTGGTCCAATCTCTACAGCAGCAGTATATTCGATTTGTTTGTATCTGCCCCTGGTTTTGACGGAGAATTGGAGTAGACTGCGGACCGCATCGCCGAACAAAACTGGACTGACCATATTTTGGACCCAGTAATGGGCATTGAGATCCTCCGCATCAATGAGCCGTCCAGTCACAGAGGAAAACATCCGGGGAGCATCCTTTGGTGCCTCTTGTGTCCGAATGGTCTTCAAAGCATTCAAGTAGTCGTCAGATATAGTATGCATATGATGAGAATGATACGCTGTTTGCACCTTCAACTTGCGTGCAAACTTTTTGTCCTGGGTTAAAACACGTCCTAGTTCGTTGATAGCTGCGGCGTCCCCAGAAATCGTCACGCTTGAAGGACTGTTAATACAAGCTACCACTGCCTTACCACTTGAGAGTTGACCCAAGTACGCAGAGGCTTCTTCTTGTGAGACTCCTGCTGCGAGCATCGCACCGGGCACTCCATTCATTCGCTCAGGCACTTTTTGGGAGAACAGGCCACGAAAGTAGGCAGTTTTGATCGCGTCTGCCTTGGAAAGGGCCTTTGCCACGAAAGCGGCAGCAATTTCTCCAGACGAATGACCGACGACAGCTTGTGGTGTGACTCCCCAATGTCCCAAAAGGCTCACGAGTGCAATCTGGATAGCTGTGCAGATTACCTGACTAAATTCCGGGTCATGGATCCGTGTATCATTGTTCTCGAGGCAGCGAGCAATATTCCATTCACAGCCAAGTTCTGTCAAGGTCGCCTGGCTTTCATCAAGGCTGGAACGGAAGACAGGATCAGTTAAGAGCTGACGCCCCATTCCCGGCCATTGAGCGCCTTGCCCTGTGAATACGAAGAAAATATTGTTTTGTGTGGAGGCTCGAGGGATACTCGGAAGCTTGGACTGCAGGCTTGTCTGTAAGGCCTGTAAGGAATCACCAACGGCAAATGTCCGATAATCGAATTGGGTTCGACGGAGTGCAAGGGTATATGCCAGGTTCTCCATAACCCTTGTGTCGGTGTCCTTTGCCTTCGTGGTTACAGCTCGTCGAGGCCATGTTTCCAGGAACTGCAAGTACTTTTGAGACACCCTTTCTAGACCGGCCTGGTCAAAAGCGGAAATCACAAACAATTTCGGGGTCGGCGTCACAACTTCCAAGCCATCATCCGACGAAGACGGTGTCGATATTCCCGAGTCATGATCGTCGAGACTATCGGTAGAATTCAAAACAGTGGCATGGTTCCCTTGAATGCCATGGTCTCGTAGAAAACTGTAAGCGTCGTCGAGAATGACATGACCATTGGCCCCTCCATAGCCGAAAGAATTGACACTGGCGCGGCGGAGACCAGAACCAGGCCAATGCATAGACTCAGATGGTATAGCTAAGCGCCAAGAATCGAGGCGCAATCTGGGGTTGAGTGTCTGGAAATCTGCATTTGGTGCAATGATCCCCTTCTCCAGGCTCAAGACCGCTTTGATTATGCCGGCGATTGCCGAGCATCCCTCAGTGTGGCCAACATTCGTCTTCACACTGGAGACGTAAAGAGGCTGATCATCTGGCAACTTGGATGCCCCGAAAGTTGCTCCTAGAGCCGACAGTTCCAATGGATCTCCAACTGGTGTCCCGGTACCGTGTGCCTCAAAGAATGCAGTTTCTCTGAGTGACAAGTTGGCTCTAGTGTAAGTGGATCGTATGAGTTCTTCCTGAGCCTGTGCACTGATTGAAGTGTCAGTTGCAACCTGAATACGTAACTGGCCAGAACAATTGCTTTACCTCGGCATGGTAATGCCCGGGGTCCGCCCGTCTTGGTTCAATCCGGTATTGCGGATTATGGCACGTATGGTGTCGCCATCTGCGATTGCAGTACTCAATTTCTTGATGACAAGAGATGCAACACCCTCCCCGCGGCCATATCTACGCAACAGACGTCAGCTTAACCAACTTCAACTTGGGATAAATGTAAAGACAAGTACATACCCGTTCGCGCGAGCATCAAAGGTATGACATTTCCCATCAGGGCTGATCATTCGCATGCGAGAAAGCGCCTGAAAGAGCTCTGGATAAATCAGAAGGTTGGTTCCACCAACAATACACTGTTCGAGTTAGATTACGGTGGACATGCCAAGCATGGAGTTCGGCTTACAGTTGTTGCGTCTCCTTGCTTGATTGATTGGCAGGCGAGATGCAGTGCAGTAATACCACTGCTACATGCCGTATCGACACTAAGGGACGGCCCTTTGAGATTGTAGAACCAACTGACTCGATTGGAAAGCATTGTGGCTCCACCTCCTGTGGCGGCGTAAGGAGCAACGCTGTAGACATCCGCCCCCGTCATCTGGTCGAAATCTCGTGTGAAGCAGCCCACGAAACATCCTGTGTCTGTACCTGCAATCTGGGAAATCGGGATACCAGCATTTTCGAGGCCTTCATATGCCACTTCGAGCATCATTCTATGCATTGGATCCATAGTTTCCGCTTCCTTGATGGTGATGGAGAAGAACGGGGCATCGAAGAGCGAAATATCTTCTTTGAGAAAGTGGCCGCTTTTGGTGATGACCTTCCGCCTGTTAGTCAAAACTTCCAATCTGTTTGATTACATTCACTTACTGCACCCTTTCGATCAGGGTTGGGGTGATACCACGCATTAGCATTGAACCGTGTTGGAGGGATTTCTGAATGGGCGCTTCGCCCCGAACTGATCAGATCCCAGAAACCTTCCAGGCTATCTCCATCTCCTGGAAGACGGCAAGCCATGCCTATTATGGCAATTGGCTCGGCATCATTGCCCACTGGGTGTTCCGGAGCGCTCATGGTTGTGATGGATTTGAAATCGTGGAAACAAGTGACACGACTCTAGGGCATATATAGCACCTTGATTGAGAATGGATGCAGAAATCTGTCGGCTTAGATTTTCCAGCCCTTGTGTGTAGCACAGGAATTGCAGTTATACAAATGCTCATAGTCTGAGACTACTGTCATTTAAAGTCTCATAATGCATATATGCGTTTAAGTGCAGGTCATTGTGCACATCTCCATGGCCGTTCATTGCAGATGCTGTTGCCAGCTGTGTCATTGCTCGGCCCATTTGGGTGCAATTGGCTGGTGAACACGCCGAGCGCTGGCCCCAACCCAACCGGTTGTTCTCGGCGATCAAGCAAGAAACTATGGGTAATGTGTTATCCATCGTCAAATCGGCAGAATGGGGGAATCGATTCTCTCGGAGGTTTCATCCCTTCCGCTCGGCTGAATTTTGCTAAGCACCGACACGACTGGCGTCTCGATTAGGGCTAGTGCTGAGGTCATATAACCCATGGTCTAGATGGCTTTGCACCCTAGGTGGTCAATATCAAGGTTCTCCTCTGATATGCTCTGTAGTTTATAAAAGGACCGATGCGGAGGGTTTTATTACAAATGCTCCAGCAATGGATCATTTCGCCGTTGCTCATGTGTAGCCGGATCACTATCTCTAAATTTACCAACGCTACAAGTGGGAAAAGGGCCTAAATATTTGAGAAATTCTTTGGCGTGTGAGAAACTACAACTATCTCGACCTTTTGCTTTCAGAACATCCCCAAATAGCCATGAAAGCAATCGTCGTTGAAGGGCCAGGCAAAGCCCGAGTTGGTGAGGTTCCGGAGCCCACAACTAGACCACAATATGTCAAGATAAAAGTGATGGCTGTGGCACTCAACCCGAGTATGATATCTATCTTGCAGAAAAGTGGATGGACTGAGCTCATGTTAACAGCTGATTGGAAGCATATTGACGGAATTTCAGACAAAGGCGCGGTTATTGGCAAGTTCAAAATATTTGGAGGTTGTTGAATAATCTGTATGGCCATTAACATAAACAGGATGCGATTATGCGGGTACTGTTGTTGAAGTTGTGCGTTGCTTAATCTGTATCCTCCAGCAAAATGAGTCTCTAACATCATCTAGGGCTCAGAAGTTACTTCCAATGTGCAAGTTGGCGATCGGATTGCTGGATGGGTGCATGGAGGGAACTTGGCAAGCAGCTTTCCTTCGAAACTGACGTGCTTCAACTAATGGGGCCATTCAGAGCAATCATGAAGATGGCTGCTTCACAGAATATGCGGTAGCAAAGGATGGAATATTTACCAGAATACCGGATCATATGAGTTTTGAGGAAGCTTCGACCTTGGGCATTGGTAAAATGCCTTTGACACGAGTTTAGTTTCACATATACTGAACAATGATTCCAGGTATCAGCACGGTGGCTTTAGCAATGTATCAACAACTAGACACCCCTTGGCCAGGAGATGAAGCAGTACCATATCCCATTTTGATCCACGGGGGCAGCACAGCAACCGGCACTCTTGCCATCCAATTTGCTAAACTGTGAGTGGCCATAATCTTGGGTCGGAATTGAATGAATGGTATTAAACCACTACCAGCTCAGGGCTCGAAGTATGGACAACGGCTTCGCCTGCAAACCATAATATGCTTCTCTCCCTCGGCGCAGACCACGTTTTCGATTACAGCGCGCCAAATTGTGCCTCGGACATACGGATGCTCACGAATGACTCACTCCAGCATTGCCTTGATTGCATCTCTACTCCTGAATCAATCACATTATGTGCAAATGCACTTTCAGGGACTCGCCCGGGCTATTATGCTTCCCTGTTAGGGTTACCCCAATTTCCCCGCGATGATGTTACGGTAAGCGGGATAATGGCGTACACAATATTTGGCGAGGCCTATACCAAGTTCAACAAGGTGACTGGGGCGAATCATGATGATTACGAATTCGGGGTGGAGTTTTGGAAGCTGGCCCAAGAGTTACTGTCAGCTCGCAAGCTCAAGACCCATCCAATACAAGTTGAGCAAGGCGGCTTAGACGGAATACTGCGAGGGTAAGTTGGAAGTGATCTCTGTTTGAAGTCACTAGACATCGTCTAATGTAGCTCACACCGTCACAGGCTTAATTTGATGCGTCAAGGAAAAGTAAGTGCGAAAAAGTTGGTTTACAGAATCGCACATCCCTGAAAGGATCATTCCTTGCTGGATTTGGATTGCAAGTAGGATATAAGTCCGATTATGGCCAGAAAGACTGTGGATCCAAACAGCTGTGATTAAACTTGGGTAGATAATTGCAAGTAAGCTGAAATGAATTGCTCCGCGAGTAGCTGCCGGTCAAGCCCAGACTCCTGTGTCTGATTTGCATATAGGAACTCCGAGAATTGATTAGTAGATTACAAAGCGGGTGATCCAAAGGTTGCCTCTTGGTCATTATGGACTATGCCAGACAATATATTACATGCTGGAACTTGGGATCTAGCTTCGTTAACAAACACAATAAGGCACTACGCCTATACTTGGCTTAGGAATTCAACATCCAGTGCAGTGAAGAATGCGAGCCGTTTTCTTATTTACTGTTTAGGCGCTTGTAACATCAACCATTCATGGGATATAAAGTATGCCGACAAAATATAATTAAGGATACAGGCCATGTGAATAGATGAAATGACTGCATGTACTGTCCACCCTCCAGGTGTTGTAGGGTAGCTGACAGAGAATCTAAGGATCTAGCAGTATAGAATGCTTGTCGCTGCCGAGTACTGCGAGTAACATCTGCAATGGTATTCGATATCCTCCGCTCGGCGGGTTTGGCAATAATGCTCCGTAGAACTGCAGATCAATCCGCCGTCGACAAAGGAAAAGAAAGTCAAGGGAGTTAGGAAAAGCCAGTGACAAATCAATGGGTGCAGGAGGATTCGATCACAAATATTGTGCATTGGCACTCACACATCTGAACCTGTTGGAAGGTGCTCCTAAAATCAAATCGTTGACCACAGGAAACACGCCCTGGACATCTGGGCACTACAGACTGCGATGCTTTCCCTTCTTTACATCGTCCTCTTGGGGCTCCTTCTTCTATTTCTCCGCCGCCTTGTCCATTGGATAAACAGGCAATGGAAGGCCCGTCGTCTCCGTTGCGGTCTGCCGGCCGCTTTCCCACAGCCAGTTTGGGATTTACTCGGCATCGGCCAACTGCGGGCGGCCCTTGAGGCCAATGAAAGCAAAAGGTTCATGCCATATCAGGTATCACGATACCATGAGATATCGGCGCGGCAGGGGCGTGATACACCTACCTTTAGCTACCACATATTGAACAGCCAGTTCCTGTTCACATGTGACGCTGAAAACATTCAAGCGATTCTGGCTTCGCAGTTCCAGGACTTTGATCTGGGTGCCAATCGCAGGGGGAATTTTGCGAGTCTTCAAGGATCAGGCATATTTACAACAGACGGCGCAGCATGGCAACACCATCGTGCACTACTCCGACCTAGCTTCGCGCGAGCCCAGGTGGCGGACTTGGACTTGGAGCAGCGGCACTGCGAGAACTTGATGCAGGCTCTAAAGCCCGACGACAGCACGGGCTGGACAGCAGACACGGATTTACAGGCTCTCTTCTTCCGCCTCACTATTGACACGGCGACCGAGTTTCTCTTCGGAGAAAGTATCAACACTCAACTGAGCGCGGTTAAGGGCAACAGTGATGGAGTAGTCCAAGCAGATAAGCCCGCCGCGCTGGATGAGCTCGTCTTCTCCAAGGCCTTCGACAGCGCGCAGGCTTACATCGCGCGGCGCGGGCGAGTCTTGGGAAACTACTGGTGGGTGATGCACAGCCGTTCATTTAGCGAGGCTGTTTCGCGCTGTCACGCCTTCTTCGACCACTATGTCGAGTTGGCATTGCGCAAAGCTAGTTCTGCCGACGGGCAGCAGGACAAGAAAGAGAAAAAACCTGGACAGTACATCTTCCTCGACGAGCTAGTGCAGCGCACGCGGGACCCTGTTGAGTTGCGAAACAGTTTGCTTCAAGTCCTTATTGCTGGCCGCGATACTACCGCCGGTTTGCTGAGCTGGACCTTCTACCTGCTAGCCCGGCACCCAGTGGTCTACGCTAAACTGCGGCGCGTCATTCTGGAAGAGTTCGGTCCGTACCGGGCAGGTCACCGCGAAAGCATCTCTTTCGAGGCGCTGAAGTCGTGCGCATATCTCCAGCATGTGCTGAACGAAACCCTGCGTCTGTATCCCGGTGTGCCGCTAAACAGGCGCCAGGCGACGAGGGACACAACTTTGCCGCGGGGCGGCGGCCAGGATGGCAAGCAGCCCGTCTTCGTGCCCAAAAATGCAAACATAGTATATTGCGTCTATGCTATGCATAGGATGCCTGCATACTGGGGCGAGGATGCTGAAGAATTCAAGCCTGAGCGGTGGGAGAAAGGCAGGCCGGGCTGGAAGTACTTGCCCTTCAACGGTGGTCCACGGGTATGCCTAGGCCAGCAATTTGCCCTCACGGAGGCGGCTTTCGTTGTCGTGCGAATGTTGCAACGCTTCGACCAAATTTTGAATCTGGATCAATCGAGCATGGAAAATGTTCAGCAGAATGCTACTCTAACCTTGAGTGTCGCAAATGGAGTTAGAGTGAAGCTGCACGTGGCCGACAAGACGGAATAGTCATGGTTCTGCTGTGAAAGGGCGGGTCAATGAATTCAACTCAATATCTGGCATTATTTATTCATTCTCATATAGCTACTTTTCAGGCATCCATAAGCAATGAAGAGTCAATCGTTCAATTAGATGCTGGTTCCTCCCATTCAAACCGACAATAAGTGAGTGACGGATAGGTTCATGCTATAATGCTCTAGTTCTCACTCATCTCAACGACGCAATTAAAACAGCTGCGCCTCATACTGCCGTCAACCAGTGCATCTAGAACAAAAGCACATGCATCGGCTATAGCCACTGGCTTCTTGGACACAATTAACGTCTCAATGCGACAGGCTTTCTTTGCGCTCCACAGAAAACAGCCAATAGCGCAAATGCCTGCACATAAACACAGACCTTCAAAGACTGATCATATGCAGTGGAAAATGCAGCCCTGACAGATTGCAGTTCCGTCGGGCCTAGTGAGTCCAGAATCGAAGTGGACACTTGCAAAGCATTGATTTCATATGGTGACAAGACGCCTTGAAGGCTGCTTTGCGCTACTTGTTTAAATATCGCGTTTGCGGCAGCGACTCCGATGCTTCCGCCGAGCATGCGTGCTTGGGCGACAATACCTTGCGCGACGGCTGGACAGTGTCAATACATTCAGCCTGGTAAAGGGTGTTTCCTTGAGGGGGCTTCTGACCTAAGTCACTGGAGCCCGCGTTCAGCGTGGTGCTGCCGAAAAACCCAAGCTTAATATGGAATCTCCGAAAAGTCGACAATGTGCGATACTCACAGCAAATTTGTGGCAGACATGGTCATGCCGACGCCCAAAGCAAGAATGACTTGATAGCCATAGCACTTCGGCTCTATTGCAATTTGGTCGGACAATGTGGTCATCAAGCCGCATCCAAGCAGCACAAGTCCAGAAGCGATAACGAGGCATTGAAATGTGAGATTCCTTTGCCGTAGAAAGAAACTGCTCGTAAAGGATCCCAGTCCAGATGCGAAAAGCAATGGCAGCATGTTGATACCTGCCCCAGATGGGCTTTTCTGGTTGACTATTTGAAAGCGCAGAGGCATGTTTATGACGACGAGGAAAAAGGAGAAGCCTGTCAGCATTGTGACACTAGCCGCGGTCAGAGTCATAGTACCAGGCGGACAAGGGATCGGTATTCACCATGCTCCAGAGACGAGGACTCTATTCGTCCATATATTGTAGGGGAAGACGGACGCAATGCGGCTGCCCCATTTGACCCTACTAAGCAGATACTCCCAGGAAAGCAGCAATGCCCAACACGCGCAGCCAATGCTAAGGGATGCGATGACTCCACCGCTGTTCCAGCCGTACGATCCTGTACCTGTTATCTGGAGGCCGAAAACGACCAGAAGCGATGCAGCGAGCTGCAGTAGAGCGCCGACGTAGTCGAACTGAGAAAATGACAGGCGAGGTTCGTTATCGTATGCAGTAGTGTTATTCGGCCATCCCACAACGAAGAAGACAACAGCAATAATGCCAATGGGGGCACTGTTGAGAAATCAGAAATCTCTCCTAAACTGCTTACGACATGTACACCCACTTGATCCAGAACACCCATCTCCAGCTAGCATGGGACGTCAACAGACCTCCAACAATCTGTGTCTCATTTAGCATGATTACGCATTGCGAGATAGCAACTCTTACTACAGGCAAATAGGACGGTTAGTCTGTTCGACTGCGGACAGGTGTTTTTTTTTTTTTTTGTCACTCACCGGGTCCCACTGCTCCCGCCAGTGATATACTTGCCCCGATCAAGCTCGATGTTAAAAGCTTCAGATCCAAAGTTCCCGCTTCAACTAGCAAGATCAGTGGCAAAGCATAGAGGCCAGCTCCACCAACGCCTTGCAAAGCTCGAAATATTACCAACTGAGTTATGTTCTGAGAAAATCCACATGCCAAGGAGAAGGCAATAAATAGGGTAAAAGCAACGAGGACAGCGGTTCTTCGTCCAACAAAGTCGCTGGTCCTCGCAAAAATAACGGCGCAGCCTGTCAAAGCATCAGGTACCGCAATTTGAGCAATACTTGTAACCGGGGAAGGAGGTGCGAACTGATAAAAGCAAGCGTGTAGGCAAGAACAACCCAGAGAGCCCCGGAAAGAGAGTTGAAGTCGAGTGCTATGGTGTAGATGGATGTTGCCACGATGGACGTGTCTGTGGCTCGATTAGCAACATCCCCATTTGCATGCAAGCAAGAAATGAGCAAGATCTGCTTAGTGCTCACCCATGAATGATAGAAACAGAGCCAAAATCAGCCTAGCACAGATTATTAGTGTTCTTCCAGCAGCAATGAAATATTCCATGTCGATTTACCCAACGAAAATGAAAACGCGCCGCCAATGCTCAAGCGGCTCGAGTTTACCATATGCATTGGCTGGTCTTCCTGCTGGCTGATTAGGCACATTTCTGCGATTTTCCTGGGCTTCCTCCCCCATAATGGCGAACAGCTTCTGTGATGTCTGGTGTTCGCAAGGAGCTGAGGAACGAGAGATGCACGCCGGTTTTTGTGCCAGAAAGGGTTTAAACGCTTTAAACGCTTGGCGCTTCGATCGCTACGAGCCTGCCTACGACTCCGGGTATGCTCACATGAACAAATGGAATGGTCTCGTTTGTAGGAAAGAGAGTGGCAAAGAGGGGAACCCTGCTAACCAGGCGGGATCTCCTTTTGTGTCGACGAATTATTGATTGAAAATATCATCGAACGCGCCGAAAACGCGCCGAAAACGCGCCGGGTAGTGAAACGCAACCGCGAATAATAGTGGCTATATGCTCAGCTCAAGTTGACTGTTATCCTATTTCTTGAAAACCCTCATCGGACGTGCCGAAAATCCGACGAGCATCACAAATTATATGTTCAGCTTGAGCCGGCGATTTCGTTTTTCTGAGGGACCCCTGCTCATCAAGACCAACATGACACAAGGGCTTCGTGAGCAGGCCGGTCATATGGCATTTATATGTGTCCGCTCTGTCCCTGGCCTACCTGGAGACATTAACAGCCAATCGCTGAAACACGCCGTCACTTCTACGTCGCAATCATGAAGATCCTTTGCCTGCATGGCATGGGCACCAGCTCTGACATCTTCGAATTCCAAACGCAGTCTCTGCGGTCCCTGCTCCCTGCCCACTTCGAGTTCTTATTCGTGGATGGTGACTACATGTGTCAGCCGGCCGACGGGGTTGCCTCTATATTCCCGCCTCCGTTTCTATGTTATTACCCAGAACCGGACAAAGACGCAGTCGAGCGTGCGCTTAGCACACTCCGAAATGTTGTTGAAGAAGAAGGCCCATTTGATGGCGTCATTGGCTACAGTCAGGGAGCAAGCCTCGCCGCAAGTTACATGTTGGATTGTCAGTCGACGCATCCCTTGAAACCACCACCCTTCCAATTTGCAATGCTTGTCTGCTCCAGCCTACCCTTTTCTTCCTCTCCAAGTCGCAGCACCGACGTCACAGAAGCGTACGCGATTTTCAAGCAGCGGTTGAAGGAGCAGACAGGTTGCCAACAGACCAGAGACGATTTCGACGATTGTTGGAAGGTTCTGGGTTCTCCCACTGCTCGGTCTGTCTGTAGTGACAGCGACAGTGAATGCGAAAAGACAGCGGACGCCGGCCTGTATGCTTTGACACCAACACTTCTACCGCCAAATACTGAGGATATTCCAGCGTGGAGCGAACCAATATCAGATGGCAAGCACTCGCGAGTCTATACTTGGGACCCCAAGGTAAGCAGTTCGCGAATCAGCATACCTTCGGCTCATGTCTACGGCGGACTTGATCCTTACGTCCACCAAAGTAAGGAATTGGTGAAGCTCTGCAATCCAGAGTTCACATTCACATATGACCACGGCAAAGGACATGACTTTCCAAGGTCTACATACGTTGCGGAAACGATGGCAACCATGATTCTGAGACTGGTTGAACTCACAAACCGTGGGACTTGAGCAGACCTTTGCCAGACGGGGCAGTTGAGACAGTTCCCCCACGTCAGTTCCTGATAGAATAGACTCAACCATCCCGAGTCTAATGGTGATATAGTAGGTCCCAGATAGATGAGCTTCGAATACCTGATATATTGTCTATATGTCTATCAGTCCCAGTAACCACTCATTCTGTAGTCCCGCCAGCCGCAGCTCTTGCCGCAACCCCTCAACCTTGGACAGACGACTAGGACATGGGCCACCATTTACTGTGCTGCGCACACACACACACACACACACACACATATGTCAGTTTCTTGAAAGTGGAGTCGTTTAGCATATAATGGCAACCAGCAGTGACGCGTTCGCACAACTCCTTGGAAGCGTTCCATTAAGTCGTCTTGTGCATCTAGAGGGCAAGGTGGTATCTATCCCGCCAAGGTGGCTGCCTGTTCCAAGAGGTTTCCAATTCTTGCTCCCACTGAGCACGGATATTGTTGCAGATGAACGCATTTCTCTCTGGAGAAAAGGCAGCTAAATGAAAGCGTCATTCCCGGACTAAAAGACGTTACATAGCTCTCGCCAGGCCTAGTTGCATAAGCCACCCCCCGGTTTTTCAGCCCAGTTTTCGAGACTTCGGGAGCCTTGATGTTCACATATATCACACTTTATGGTTCCCTGTTAAGGAATCAGGCCTACTCCTGACGCAGATGCGAACCAGACATTGCTGGCTATCCATGTATGCAAAGGCTAACCGCTTCCAAGACAATGGCCGACGTGTCTGCGATGATCGAGAAACAGTGACCCATCTTCTGTGAGATTGCCCTAATCTGAAGGACTTGCGGTGGGAGCTATGGGGGAAAGTTGATGGCACACTGAGTAGTATGTTGGATCACTGAGAGACTCGTAAGAGGGAAGGAGATGTATGTACATGTTCAAGTTGTATAATAAATGTTACGCCTTTATATAAAGAAACTCTTCCCACCTTTATTTCTAATTCAAGTTCTCCCACCCTTTCTTGATAACATCCTCAATCCGACTATGAAGTTGAGCACTCCTCATCAGTCCATCTTGTACTACACTCTCAAGCGTATTGTCCACTGCCTTGAGTTGAGTGAGTAGAGTGCGGAGTTGCACGAGGTTCCCATCAACCCGCCTCAATAGTAAGGTATGATTTATGTGCAGCCCATTCAAGCAAATGTTATCTGTCCACACATTACAGATTTCCAGCATTTTGAAACTGCCAGCCATTACCAGTGAAAGTATAGCTTTCTCCGATGGCTCACCGGCTGATGAATCGAATTTATGCAGAGTAAGGGTATTGATGAGCTCGTGTCCTGCATGATCCAACTTGGGGGTCTCGGATTGGAGCAAGCCTAGTATGAAGGGCTCGGAACTCCATGATTCCAATTTCAGCGGCTGGGAAGCCTCCAAAATGAACTGAAGGTCGGTGTACATTCGAAGAATCGCAGAAAAGAGGGCTCTCTTGGAAGGGTCGTACTCTAAAGGGCCTTCGGTGAAAAAGCCATCGTCATTCTTGTATTGAGAAGGGTTATTATTAAGGGGGGTTGGGATTTCGTAAACGGCTCGTTCCACGTCCAAGGCAAAGCTGGACAGAGGGTTTGAAGCTTCTGCACATGTTTGCTGTTAGCTCTAGGCTCCGAGCAGATATCCTGTAGCAAGTACCTACTGTCAAATGATATCGGCATAACAAATGGAAAACAATCCATAGACAAGTCTGTCTCGGAATGACTTGGATCTTGCATATCTTGGAGGACTTCCGGCATTTGGCTCGTGCTAGTGCTCGGCTGGAAAGTACTAAACGCTGACCGGGAAGCCCTAGGCACCGGCTGTGAAAGTTCTCCTACGGACGCTTCTGCCGGAGCAGTCGAAAGTGCCCGGGGTCGGCCAGGCCGGCGACATGGGGTGTAAAAGCAAGCACGGTTGTTGGAGGCACAGTCTTCGCACACAGCGGCCCCGAGGGCTGTCTTGCATCGGATCTTGCGGGTATGACATGGATCACAGGCCGCACGAAACTTGCGATCTTGTGGAGCGCGGGGGAGGGGCATATGGCCTCAATCCGGTCTAGGTATGGGGATATGGAGTTGCTCTTAGATTGGTTCGGACAGAGTATTAGATGATAGCTTCAGATCTTAGGGGAGGGGTGGTACTTAGATATAGTAAATATAGCCTCTTTTTCACGTAGGGCCACCAATAAGTGGCAAGAATTGTAACATGGCGTCATGGTCACAGTGTCTTCAGATCCGGCGCTAGCGGGAATTAATTGCGGCTGAGACGTGGAGGTAATCCTGAGTTGCAGGATTCGCAAGCAAGAAGTGCAACCGTGGAGACGCGGGACGCGGATGAGGGGCAACGAAGCTTTATTTGGTCGAAGCCTAATCAATCCAGGAGGAGCTGAAATGGACGGCTTACCGGGTGAGGCACAATGCTTGCCGTTCAGTAAGCACGATCCTGTATTTACCCAATAGTGGTCGACTGCCTATCTCTTCAGGGACCGGCGGTTGACGCGGCCCCGATTTCAGTGGTTGAGGGGCCGTCACAGTATACTAAAATCTGACTCCGGATACAGTCTTGTGGACAAAGTGACGTGAGAACTAAGCTGACGGAAGTCGGGGGCCTGAACAGCCACCGGCGCCTACGATTGTTTCCGCTTTTGCCTCTGAAAAAGCTGGGGTATTCCACTACCTGGGGTGTTATCTCTCCCCACAGAGACGTTGAAGAGTAACTATTGTGCCAGCGTTGAAAATTGGCCTCAATCTTCCAGGACGAGGGTGACCAAGCCTGATCCTGAAGGCTGCCGCGCAGTGCTTAACTTACGAGCGAGGCCGGAGTGGAAGATATAATATAGCGTGTCCCAGCAGCCGTGGGTGATGATAACTGTTTGTCACATCCTGGTTCCAAAATGGCCAGGATAATAGAGCTCACTGCCGTGATCCACACACGCCTGGAGCAGCTTATTCCGCGCGGAAGATCGCACAAAAGTTCCTAAGAGAGCAAGGCTCAGACGCCACCGCTGAGCCTCCTGTAGTAAGTATCTAGGATTCTGTAGAGGAGAGAAATCAGGTTTACATGGTAGGCCTTATGCTCAGATAAACATTGCATGACCATATTTACCCGTGTAAAGACTGACCAATCAGAGGATGTTGGACAACCCTGGTTGATTACCCGAAGTGGGCTGGGCTTTGCTGTGCTTGCAAATTTAGGTTACAAGCGCCGTTCATTACCCTAAGGTCACCTAAAAAGTGATGGGAGTCTCATATCTACTTACTAAAGTTTACTAGCTAGCACTGCATTAGCATTCCATTAACTTAGTAGGTATTTGATGGCACCACGACAACTACCTAACACTGGTCTCCGAACCAGACTCAGCGTGGGCTTGCTGTGGATTTTATGATACAAACAGGACTGCTAGGGTAATTTAAGGCAGACACAGGGGGACAGCCACAGTGAGCATCAGGTTACATCTCGCGTGCTTGCCAAGCCGCTAGGTAGGCGGTTAGTCCGAACTGCCGATATTAAGGTTTATCAGATCCGCTATTGCCATTGGCTAGACCCCAGATTTCGATTTGTAATCCTGCCACGCTGCTTTCCACTGAGCCATGGGGCCCCAGCTTAACTTACACTGTTACCTAAATATGAAGTTATTTTACATGGAGCTTTGTGGAGCCGTCCAAGAGTAAATCTGTAAAAAGTAGAAAAGCATGGGACTTTGAGCAGAGCCTAGATTCTACCTATATAGATGTGATCTGTGTTGAAGTGGTTCAACCGAACACCCTCTGATTGGTTGGTTAGCGATGGACCCTGATTGGTCAGATAGTCACATAAGTATATATAGCCACGTGTGTATATCTGAGCATAGGAGGTCTATCATAATCTATGATTTCTCTCTCTTCTCTGTAACCTACACTTCTACAACTATCTACACTATATATATATAATCATTCTCATCCATACTATACCTTCCTTACCTAGTATTATCAATAATGACAACCACCGCACAATATGATGACCCGGCATTCTTCGCCAAATACTCCCAATTGCCCCGGGACGCAGTCCGACTGAAAAATGCTCTGCAATGGCCTACTATAAGCCGCAACATAGGCCAAGTTACCAACCAAACTGTGCTTGATCTGGGCTGCGGCTTTGGCCAGTTCTGCGGCTGGGCCTCAGAAAATGGCGCTGCCTCTGTGCATGGTATTGATGCTTCTGTGAAGATGCTGGAAAAGGCGCGGGAGCTCAACAATGCAGAAAATATCACCTATGAACATGGGGACCTCGACTTCTCCTTGAAGCACCCCAACTCGACCGCGCTGAAACTCCGAGAAAATGCATATGATATTGTCCATAGCCGCCTGGTATTCCATTATCTGGAGAATATTGCAGCCACCTTCGCAGCTATCTACAAAGCTCTGAAGCCAGGAGGCCGATTTGTCTTCTCAGTGCAGCATCCAATCTTCACAGCACCGCAGACTCCAAACTGGGGGGTGCGAAAGGATGGCGGAACGCCTTTTTGGGAGGTTGAGAGTTACGGCTCTGAAGGGCCTCGAATGATTGATTTTCTAGGCCACCCAATCCGCGCGTATCATCGTACAACGGAGACCTATATCTCTTTGCTATTAGAGAATGGGTTTATGTTGGTGGACTTCAAGGAGTGCATATATCCTCCTGGGACAGTGCCAGAGACGCATCCGGATTATGGAAAGGAGGGCCATCGTCCCGTGTTCTTGGTTCTTGCTGCTAGGAAGGTTCATGTTCCTAGTTCTGGTAGCAATGGTTACTAAACATTCATACTTTCCCAATATCTGGACCCACATTATGATAGTTCAACCTAATTTCAATATGCCTCAGAAGCCGCCACTAGTGGCCTCAGTGCTGATCCCTAAGGGACGGAACGATCCGGATCCACTCCAGCATCACTTATAGGGTGGCGCTGATCTCTTTGCGGAAATTATCCACACAAGTCTGGTTTAGCATCAGCAGAGTATAAGATGTCATAGGAACAAAATAAGACTGCATGCGTCTTCATGTAAACTCTATTCACCTGTAGGGAGCACTGGGTTGGAATATGATGGGTTGAGTTATTATCAAACATTTTCCATTACGGCAAACTTGCACCCAACTTATATCAGCCATTAACTCATAACTAACTATATAACGTGTCATCCTCACGCCTCTGCCCCAAATTACCTTTACAATTCAGGAAACTCCTAACATAACCATCCAACATGCCAGCTTCATCCCGCGAAAATATCTCCCGCCGTCCCGAACAAGGTAGCGACCAAGGCTTATCGTTAGTTAGCAGTCTTCAGCTAATATTCATGCCTGTCCAGCGAAGTCCAACGACTTTGTTCAACAGGGGGAGGACCGGCTAATGAATACCGCTGAGTACGACATAGACCAGGCTGGCCTGACCGCTAAGGGCACCATTGATCACCTGACTGGAAAAAATAGCTTAGATCAAGCGCCCTTATCAGAGTGGCCAAATGAAAGCCTGGACCCGTAAGTGTATCGTCGTGTGATTCTCTTATGATATATCTCATATAAGATCACTAACTACTATATAAAAGCCATGATGCTGAAGTAGGTCACGTCTCTGCTCTATTGGGGGAGGATATGGTGACTAAGTAGATGCTAATTGCGGAGCGAAGCGAAGCATGTCTTATTGCATCCCCTCCTAGCTTTCTGTCTTGGCACTCAACCTGATTGGTCCAGGAAAAGGGCTTCCTGGCCTTCTGGTTGGTCCACTTTGTAGCCTTCTGATTGGCTTCTGAAACTTCATGTCACGTGCCCTTAGAGCTCCCGCATGTATCTGGGGGGCAGCGCCCCCCAGAGAGTATCTATAATAATTACTCTTGATTTATAGTAATTATAGTATCCTAGAGTCCTAATATAATAAAAGGGGGGTTCTGGGGGGCCCTGCCCCCCAGGTAACTATTAATACCTTTCTCTACCTTCTGCATCTACTACCAGCCATACCTGATTTAATTAGTAGTTGATGTGGCTTAGTTTAATATCTATGGCTTAGCATACCGCTTGCTCCGCAGGCCTTAGGTGGTCACGCCACCTACACCTTGTAATGTATCGGACAGGGTCGTGCACTTGGTGTGAGTTTCTATCCCTAAGTAGAGACTTTGGTCTTTAGCATATAGGGCTAACTGGGGGCGCACTAATAGATGGTAAGTATCCCATTATTAGTGGAGATCAAGTTGTTAGGACACAGGAATGACTGCAGATGAATTACATAGGATGTTAGTATTCACCTTCAAGTACAGAAAGGGTTCCTAGGATATACGGCTAATCTAAGATGAACTGAACAGAAAGTAAGCATTCTCCTGTTAATAGAGAACACTAATTGCAGTGAAGGGCTGGCTAAGCTAAATAAAACAGCATGTGAGTACTTCCTTGTTGGTATCTGTTGATAGATATAGAGCTAACTGGTAATGGGGATGAGATAGATTGTGAGTATTTCTCTGTGAATAAAGGGCTTTATTATTAGAACAGACGCCTAACTAAGGGCGAATCTAATAGGGAGTAAGTGATCCCTACTAGTGAAGAATATAGCTACTGGGATACAGAAATGACTGAGAGTGAAGTAGAAGGTAAGTGTTTATCTTCTAGTAAGAATATGGCTATTGTGGCTAAAGGGCTGACAATGGATGTGCTAGACAGTAAGTACTCCATTATATGAGAAGATGGTATTACAGCACAGAGCTGACTAGGATACATTACATAGCAAGTAAGTATCAGTCCCCTCCATGATGACTGATACTGTTAATAGAATATAGAGCTTATTATGGATGGATAGAAAGTAAGTAATTTTCTCTTCCGAAGGATATGGTCTCGGAGTATGTACATGTCTAACAGTGGGTGAAATAGATTGTGAGCATTTCACCTGTTAGTACACTAACTTTATTAGAATTATAGCTGACTGGCAACGCATCTAATAGGCGGGTGAGTGATATATCCTAATAGATAATAGTGTACTAGGATCTTAATGGCTAACTAATAGAAAACAACAGGAAAATTGGTAAGGGGTAAGTGCTACTCTGAATAAGAAAAATCTTAGCTTTTTGGACACAAAGCGAAGCAGAGTAAAATACCCAGAATGTAAGCGGTTCCAAATGTTGATCAGTTACCACTTTCTAAATAGAGCTAACTTGTAGACTCAACAGAAGGTACGAAATACTCTAGTAACAAATGACTACTGTGCTGATGCAGGTGCTAATCAGTGTAATAGGGTAGCAGGTGTGTGACACTGGAAAGACCTGCATGTTGTCCTATACTGGTGAATAGTGACTGTGGTAAATTTCTCCAGGATGTTAAAAAATTTGTTTAAATGATGGTGCTGTGTGTAAGCTAATAAACTCATCAGCAGATAGATGTTGTGGCTTCACAGCAAGAAGATATACTGTGAGGCTTTGAAGAGAGAATGGGGGATGCAAATGTGACTTTTAATGCGTCTATTTCTGAAAAGCCTTGATATGGTTTTCCCCTATGTTTTATAGGTTTTCCCATATCATTAATGCAAATGCAGAGGCAATGAAATATCTTGATGTTCTCTTATTGGTGGAATACTTAGGTCACTTCATGCCGGCTTTCGAGAAAATTTGGACTTGTTGAATGTGGTTGTGAGGAAACTCCTTTGGCAAGACCATATCTCGATCTTAGTGATGCCGCTGTAGCGTCCAGTATGAGGAGAATCGGCTCTTGCAGGTAGAACACCCTTGATGGTCATTCACCGAGCTCTATCTGTGAGCTCATGATTGCGCTTTGCAAACCTTGGTAGATGAAAAACAATTCTATCTCGCATAAGCTTCCTGTAACTACAGGACTGGTTTTCCCTGACATACTCCGTCCAGTACGCCAAAACGAGGGAGTGAAACCGCTTCTTTAGGTCCTGCCTCCTGCGAGCATGACCGAATCAAGTCAATGGATGTGTCATCCGCCCTTACAGTGACACCCGAAATCACAATCAATATCCAATACAGAGAGCGTTGTTTCCACTACGCCAAAAAGGTATCTAGACTACCATTTCTGGGATAGTAGAAATGATAGGCATATTCTGGTTGACAATATAACACCTTGGTTGTGGCAGTTCCATCGGAAGATTACAGTTCGGTCCTTCAATCCAAAGAACAACAGGTTCGATGCGTCTGTCCTTATTCGAGATGTTTCCTTTCAAGCTCTGACATCTAGTACAGCCTTGTGTTCACCGAATGTCAGGAGCAGGCCACAGCGATGGTCCTTTCCTGGTTCAAGGAGAGCAGGGAAAAGCGAGAGGCAGCCTCGTCCGCGATAACCGTCGACGATTTAGAGAACTCTGTCTCAAAATTGGCACTGCATATCATTTCTGCGGCGGGATTTGGCCATCAAATGCAATGGAATAGTCATGATTCCAATGCAGAAGAAACTTCGACGGCACGAAAAGTTACCTTTGCAGAGAGTCTGAAGACATTTGTGGATGAGATCTGGCTTCTCATGATATTCCCAGCGTGGCTTCTGAAGTTTTCACCCTCGGCTCATCTGCGAAGAGTCCACAAAGCGCCCGACATTTTTGCAAATCATGTTCAACAGGCAATTAACGAAGCAAGAGTGGAGGATAATATGCAAAAATCACCCCGGAGAAATGATCTGCTCAGCAAGTTATGATCAATAGCGACGGTATCTTCCATGGCTCTGACAAAGGCGGTCTTAGCGACGAAGAAATCACATCAAATGTCTTCATATTCACTCTTGCTGGCCACGAGACCACTGCACCATGATCCAAACGGCTCTGGTCCTGTTGGCAGTCCATCCTGAGCTTCAGCAAGAGATCCACGAGGAACTGGATGTGATTTACGGAGAAAAGTCGGAAGGCGAAGGGCTCGTTTATGAGTCCGATTATCCGAAGATGAGACGTGTTATAGCCTTGATGGTAAGTGGATATCCATCTGCATTCGCGTAATCCATTAATCTTTGCCTAGCTGGAAACCCTCCGTTTATTCCCCTCGATATCCGGTATTCCCAAATGGACCAGCGACAAACCTCAGATTGCGCACTACAATGGCCAACCGTTCGATATCCCCCAGGATACCAGTATTGTGCTGGACGTTGTGGCGGTTCACTGCAATCCTCGATACTGGGGGGAAGATGCAAATGTTTTCCGCCCTTCGCGGTGGCTCATGGACGAGACGTACGAGCCGCTGACGAACTCGGTCAGCCACTCAAAGCATCACCTGAACATGTTATGCCCCCGGAAGGGCGCTTTTATTGTCTTCAGCGATGGTCATCGCGATTGTCTGGGCAAAGGGTTTGCACAGGCGGAATTCTGTGCGGTGATTGCGACATTACTGATAGATTTCTCGATCGAGTTGGTACCTCCCGAGAGGTCTACACCATCCGATGCTGTATGGAGCGCTATGTGTCAAAACGCATGGAAGGCTCTGGACGACAGAAGGAATATGACGAGCTTCAAAATGTATGGGAAAGTCCTGTTCGGTTTGTTCCTAGGGGGTGGAATGGCGTCGTGGTTGATCTCTTGTATATTACCATGTCATATATCGCCCTGTTTTTGGGAATATTCGTTTCATGCATAGATGCCTAGATAGATTGTACATAAACATCATTTACGTCTGCGCGACATTCGGCTCAAATGCGAATGGTATGAGAGTCAGCTCCCGAGTTATATTCTAGGAGGCTTGGATGAATGTGACTAGCAGCGCATGCAGGTACATCAAGTATCACATAGTTAACAAGGATACAGGTACCGTCCAGTCTTAATCGCATTTGACAATCTCAATACACGTGAATATCAATCAGTTTTTGGTTTCTCCAGTTTCTGTGCCTTCTTATCATCAACATCACTATGCTGATGAAGAGGACTCTCTGTCATTTTCAGATTTGCAAATGCTTTATCGCGAACATCCTTGTTAGCATCTTCACTGGCATTACTAGTGCTAGGAACTGGGGCGTAGGGATGCGAAACGCTGCCCCGCTGAGGATGGGCTCTGCCAGTATGGATTGCCCCGTTATCAGTTACTCGGTCAGCTGTGGAAAGGGCGAAATCTCCAGAGTCAAAGTATTTTCGTTCCTTTCACGCGTCAGTCAAGACCGTTGCTTTATATCTCGATAAACGTACCTTGGCCTGCTGGTCAAGTAATCTTCCTCTTTGAGGCAGCCTTCCATAGGCGCGAAGGAGACCTTCTTCGTCCTTGGAGGGCGACTAGAATGTATTAGCTTAGCAAGTCAAACTATAGTTATAGTGTGTGTATCTTACCTCGGGGTTTGATTGTTTCTTCTGCTCTGGCTCCATTTCTTGTATACCTCCAATGTTTGAGATGTTAACACCAAGAATGTGCGATCAGACCCACTTGATTGGGGAATGATGTACATCACAGAATGGCAGCTGGCGGAGAGTCACGTGCCCATCACTGTCTAAGCTGATTCAGCACAAGGCACCTCAGCATCAGGATCTGTATTTAAATCCAAGCAACGGGCTGAGTGAAAAAATGAGAATTAAATAGGTGATGAGATGACGTGTTTCCAGCATATAAGCACTCCTAATCTTCAGCTTCCTTCCTATTGCTTGAACTGCATGTGTTGTAACCCATCCTACCTCCATGTCAGTCAGTTATGCACAGTTAGCACTTGGCTTAATATTGTGGCCATACTTGGTATGGCGGAGATCTAATCACATGATCTCACTTAGTAGATAGCTCCTTCCACTATATAATAGTAAACATAGATTTATATATATAATAAATTAATAAAATATCTTTATATTATGAACCTCTCTCTACTTATTCTATAGGTTATAAGCCTAGAGCCTCTTAGAGAGCTCTAGGAAATTATTTCTAAGTTCTTTCCTTAAGCTATTTTACTACTTTTTACTTTTAAAAGCCTCTTTTAGCAGATATTCTATCTAAAATATTTATCTAGGCTAGATATTCTGCCTAAGATAGAAACTATTCTTTTATTATCTTTATTAATAGGGCCCTATAAAAGATTCTTATATTTAAGAATCCTTATAGGTGCAGAAGCCTAGCAGTTAACCTTAGATATATCTAAAACCTTATTCCCTTAAGGGATATATCTAAAACCTTATTTCTTTTATTAAAACCTCCCTTTAAGATGCCTTAAGTAGATCTCTATAAGCTACTATTACTTATAGATATTGGGATATTCGTAGTTGTTAAGGATGTGGAGTCTTTAAAGAGTGTGAGGGTAGGGGGTAGGCCAGTGGCTGCCCTATATATCCTTATTAACTTTAAGGGATTCCAGTCTTCTTTTATATTTTGACCTAAGCTAAGAAGGAATGTAAGGTCTAACTAACTATATAAATARTAATAATAATTACTAGATATTATTATATATCTAGTAGACTTCCCTAAAGTTATATATATACTATTTAATATTATATCCTCCCCTACTTAGATTAAACTTTATCTGTGGAGTTCTTAGTTAGCTATCTTTTATGGGAAATTTATCAGCACCTAGTAAAGCAACTATATAGATATAACTAGTTACTAAGATATATTAATTTCTAGATCTAGTATTAGATATTATTATTTCTTTATTAATAATCTATAGAATTAACTAGATCTTTCTTTATGCTATTATTCTAAAATTACTATAGTAGTAGCTGAGTATATTCTTTATTTAATATATAAGAGGTATAATTAGATTATCTTACTTAGTAATATTAATAAGTAAGTTACCTAAGTAATTAGTAATCTTTAAGTAGGGTATAAAGAATTATAGTAAATATTACTATTTATATATATATATAAATAATTAAATTAATAAAGGTAGAATTAACTAATAAGTATAGATAAATAAGTAAGTATTTACTACTAGTATATATAGTCTAGATATAAATATCCTTAACTTTTCTTACTTAATATATAAGATATTTTATAACTAAGCCTTAATATTAGATCCTCTAGCTTAGCTTTTATTTATTTAGATTAATAAACTATTATAGTCTCTTCTTTTTATAAAGTATATTTATCTCCTATAGCTCCTTAGTTATTATACTCCTATTCCTAATTTAAAGATACTTATTCTTAATTATTATAATACTATTAAGCAGGTAATAGAGAAGTACTTTTTTCTATTAATAAAATAAGATAGATCCTATATTACCCTCCTAGATATAGTATATAATATTAAATAGTCTTATAGTAAGAGTAGTAAACTATTAACTAAGCTAATTATTAACCTATCTTAGTAATTAGTTATTATTCTCTATTAGTAAGGTATTACTATAGATCCTAGTTATAAATAATATATAAACTCTAGTATATTTTTTAAATATATTATATCTTCTAAGTATAATTTAAATAGTATAACTTAGGTATTATTCTAAGGTGCTTATATAAACTATCTATAATATATAAAAGATTTAAACTATAAATTCTACTTAGGTTATAGTAAGTAATAGAATTCTAGGAATAATATATAAGTTTCTTATTTTAAACTTTTTACTAATAGTTACTTATTTATATAGGATAATTCTATAAGCTAGTAGTTTACTAAAAGTTTAGAATAATAATTCTACTTTATAAGATCTATCTCTAAGTAAAACTATTAATATATCTACTAAATAATAATTAAATACTTTATATTAGACTCTTTCTAAACTTACTACTAAACCTAGCCTAAGTTATTATAGTTATTACTTCTCTTCTTTTATAAGTAAAGCTATTCTACCTATACCTAATACTAATCTAAAGTATTAGACTAGATTAAGTTAATTAAGTAGTTTTAAAGAGAATCCTATTCCTATATTAAGTGCTTATTATTACTATACTACTATAGAGAAAGCTTAAGCTAAGGTAGTATACTCTAATATTCTAATCTTTCTAAGGCTAGGTAGTAGTTCTCTAATCTTAGATACTACTCTAACTTTAAGTACTATAGATCTCTTTATTTCTAGTATAAGTCCTACTATAGAAGCTATTATTACTAATTTTTATTTAAATCTATCTTAGTCTAACTCTATTACTTCTAATCTTAGTAATCTAAAGAGTAAATATTATCTTACTTTAAGTAGAGTATCTTTAACTCTCTTTAAGAAATATTATTTTAATTATTTTTTTAATAGTATTATTCTCCCTTAACCTATATTAATATCTAACTTTAAAGATCTTATTATACTTTAAGTAGTTTAGAAGGATCTTATTTATTTCTCTAAGCTTATTAATAAGAAAATTTTAAAGCTTAAGGAAGCTCTTTACCCTAATAAAGTAGATAATAATAATAAAGAACTTAATCTAAAGAATAAAATATATTAGAATAAATAACTTTCTAATCTTACTAGTCTTTAAGGTAGAGATAGAGACTAAGGTAGTTAAGTATTACTTTTATTAAAAAAGCTAATAAAATTAAGAAAGCTTAGAAGGTTTTTTTATTTAGCTATTTTCTTTTATATTTAGCTATTTTTAAGTAGTTTTAACTCTAATTAAATAGGTCTTCTCTCTTCTATCTAAATATTTTTATAATACTAGATAACTTATCCTTCTCTACTTACTCCTAATAAGTTAGAACTATTACTATAAATAGTCTCTTAAAATCTATATCTCTTCTATTAGTATCTTATTAAATTTAATTATTCTTTAATAAATTATATAGTATTCCTCTATTTAACTTATTATCTAAAGAAGTTAAGTTAATTTTACTTTAGTTACTTCCTAGAGTTAACTTCTTTAGATAGTATATAGGATAGCTAGTTCCTATTAGTATATTATTAATATATTCTTAAATCTTTATTTATTAAGTATATTATTTTATTAAGATACCCTCCTCTATCTACTTTAAATATACTCCTAAATATTTAGCAGATTCTTAATCCTTTTAAGTTATCTTTAAAAGTTTATTATATAAGAATAAGGGTTCTTTAACCTCTTTAAGCACCTTATATACTTTAATTAATATATAAATTAATAATCCTACCTTCTATAATTATTATATTAGTATAGCTAATATCTATAGTTTCTTTAACTTATTATTAAAATTAGCTTCTACTAATTATTAGCTATTAATTAGGTTCTCTACTATATATCTATTAGATTCTGAAATAGTATATGTACTGAGTAGGTATAATTATTTAATCTTATATAGACTAAACTATTTATATTAGAACTTCTAAGGGGATTCATTCTAAATAAGGACCTATTAATCTTTTATAAGATAAGATTTCTTTATATTACTATCTTAAATTAAGTTCTATTTAATTATATATACTAATAGCTTCTTATTAGCTAGGGATTATATATAGTTAATATATTATAATTAAATTTTAATATCTTAGGCAGTTAGTTAATTAGTTTATAGATGACTAGATAATAATAGATATATATTATAGAGAAGGTAGAATAGTAATAACTTTATCTAGGTATAGATATATACTTAAGTAGTAAAGATAGCTAGAGGTAGGTATTTATCTTATAGATATATTAGTTTACCTATAAGATACTTTATTAATATTTTACCTAGTAAGCTATTCATATTTTTATTCTTACTATTAGTTCTAGGATAGTTTAGAGTTATTATATAATATTTTATCTTAAGAATCTTAAGATAAGCTACTATAACTTAGGATAG